GCGCACACGGATCATTCTCTAGGATCGATCACATACTGGGGCACAAGACAAACATCAACAGATACACCAAGATTGAAATCATACCAACCATCTTTTCTGACCACGAAGGCATCAAACTAGAAATAAATCATAAAAAGAAGGCAAGGAACTATCCTACCTCATGGAGATTAAAAGCCACACTACTGGAAGACCACTGGACTAACGAGGAGATCAAAGAAGAAATTAAAAAATTCTTTGAATTGAATGACAAGGAGGACACCAATATCCTAAATGTATGGGATGCAGCAAAAGCAGTAATAAGAGGAAAATATATAGCAATAGAAGCTCACATCAAAAAACAAGAAAGAACTCAAAGAAACAACCTAATCTCGAAGCTCAAAGATCTAGAAAAAGAACAACAAAAAAACCCCAGAACCAGTAGAAGAAAAGAAATAATAAAAACCAAAGCAGAAATAAATGAAATTGAAACTAAAAAAACAATCCAAAAGATCAATGAAACCAAGAGCTGGTTCTTTGAAAAAATAAATAAAATAGACAAACCCCTAGCCAGGCTCACAAAGGAAAAAAGGGAGAAAGCACAAATACACAGAATCATAAATGAAAGAGGAGAAATCACAACGGACACAGCAGAAATCAAAAGAATAATCAGTAACTACTATGAACAGTTATATGGAAACAAGTTCAACAATCTAGAGGAGATGGACAAATTCCTACAACTCTACAATCACCCAAAGCTAGATAAAGAAGAAATAGAACACCTAAACAGACCAATTACAAGCAGCGAAATTGAAATGGTAATTAAAAACCTCCCCAAAAACAAAAGCCCAGGACCTGATGGATTTACAAATGAATTCTACCAAACATTCAGAGACGAATTAGTGCCTATCCTTCACAAACTCTTCCAAAAAATTGAGAAGGAAGGGACAATACCAAACACGTTCTATGAAGCCAATATTACACTAATACCAAAACCGAATAAGGACAACACAAAAAAGGAAAACTACAGGCCAATCTCCCTAATGAACACTGATGCAAAAATCCTCAATAAAATTTTAGCTATCAGAATCCAACAATGTATCCATAAGATAATTCACCACGACCAAGTTGGATTCATTCCAGGGGCACAAGGATGGTTTAACATCCGAAAATCAATCAACGTTATCCAACACATCAACAAAAAGAAATATAAAAACCATATGATAATATCAATAGATGCTGAGAAAGCTTTCGACAAAGTGCAACACCCATTCATGATAAAAGCCCTTGAAATTCTTGGGATACAAGGAACATACCTCAACATCATAAAGGCCATCTATGACAAGCCAACAGCCAGTATCATTCTCAATGGTGAAAAGCTGAAAGCAATTCCATTAAGATCTGGAACAAGACAAGGATGTCCACTCTCACCACTGCTTTTCAATATAATACTGGAAGTCCTAGCCAGAGCAATAAGACAAGAGAAAGACATCCAAGGAATCCAAATAGGAAAAGAAGAAGTCAAACTATCACTATTTGCAGATGATATGATAATATACATAGAGAACCCCAAAATCTCCACAGAAAAACTAATTCAACTCATCAATCAATTCAGTAAAGTGGCAGGATACAAAATCAACACGCAAAAGTCAGTGGCCTTCCTATACACAAACAATAAATCTGAAGAAGAAGAAATCAAAAAACCACCCCTTTTATTATCGAAACAAAAAAAATCAAATATTTGGGAATAAATCTAACAAAAGAGGTAAAGGACCTATACAAAGAAAACTATAAAACACTGTTAAAAGAAATAGAAGAAGACACAAAGAAATGGAAAGACATCCCCTGCTCATGGATTGGAAGAATAAACATTATTAAAATGGCCATCCTACCAAAAGCAATATACAGATTCAATGCTATTCCAATCAAAATCTCAATGGCATTCTTCAAAGAAATAGAACAATTATTGATGAAATTCATATGGAATCACCAAAAACCCCGAATAGCCAAAGCTCTACTGAAAAAAAAAGAAGGAAATGGAGGCATCACACTCCCAGACTTCAAACTATACTACAAAGCCATAATCATCAAAACTGCATGGTATTGGAACAAGAACAGACATACAGACCAATGGAATCGAATAGAAAATCCAGAAATAAACCCACAGATTTATGGTCAACTAATCTTTGACAAAGGAGCAAAGACTATGCATTGGAGCAAAGAAAGTTTGTTCAATAAATGGTGCTGGGAAAACTGGGTCGCTACATGCAAAAGAATGAAGCTTGACCACTACCTCACACCATACACAAAAATCAACTCAAAATGGATTAAAGAACTAGACATAAGACCTGAAACCATAAAATACATAGAAGGAAATATAGGCGAAACACTACGGGATTTGCACATCAAAGACATCTTTACAGACACATCACCCAAAGCAGTGATAGTGAAGAGAAAGATAAACAGCTGGGACTACATCAAATTAAAGAGCTTCTGCACAGCAAAAGAGACAATAACAAAAACAAAGAGAAACCCCACCAACTGGGAGAACATTTTTGCACCCAACACTAATGATAAAGGACTGATCACAAAAATCTGCAAAGAGCTGATGAGACTCAGCAACAACAAAGAAAATAATCCAGTCAAAAAATGGGCAGAAGAGCTAAAAAGAAACTTCTCTGAAGAGGAAATGCAAATGGCCAACAGACATATGAAAAAATGTTCAACATCACTTGTAATCAGGGAAATGCAAATCAAAACTACCATGAGATACCATCTCACACCAGTGAGAATGGCACATATTAAAAAAACTAGCAACAACAAATGTTGGCGAGGATGTGGAGAAAAAGGAACTCTTGTGCACTGTTGGTGGGAGTGCAAACTGGTCCAACCACTATGGAGAGCTGTGTGGAGATTTCTGGACCTACTAAACATAGAGCTTCCATATGATCCAGCAATTCCACTCCTAGGTATTTACCCAAAGGACACAGAAACATCAATTCCAAAGAGCACCTGCACTCCTATGTTTATAGCAGCACTGTTTACAATAGCTAAGCTTTGGAAACAACCCAAATGCCCAAAAATAGATGACTGGATCAAGAAGATGTGGTACATATATACCATGGAATATTACTCAGCATTCAAAAAAGATAAACACATGCAATTTGCAGCAACATGGATGGCACTGGAAGGGATCATGCTCAGCGAAATAAGCCAAAAAGAAAAAGAAAAATACCGGATGGTCTCACTCATAGCAGGAATCTAGAAAACTTAAATAAGGGACCAGGAAAATGAATATAAGAAAGTGAAAATCAAAATCAACAAAAAAACTATGAACCAGAGACACTTTTTGGGGGGGGGGGGCGGGAGGGGAAGGATTGGGGTCAGAATGGGGCGTTTGCAATTGTATGGGGGAATATAAAAATAAAATTTAATATTTAAAAAAAAAAAAATAAATAAATAAATAATTAACTTAAAAAAAAAAAAAAAAAAAAAAATAAAAGTGTTTTAGTGTAGTCTTTAGAGTTTTTATGTATATTATCATGTCATCTCAAATAATGATAGCTTTATATAGTCTTTTCCAATTTGGACTCAGTTTTAGTCTTATTTTGCCAAATCGCTCAAGCTAGCACTTTCAATACTATGTGGAATAGTTACGGTGATAGTGGGCATCCTTGTCATTGTTTTCATTTATTTATCTTTTATCTAAGATAGTGCATCCAGAAGGTAGAAATTGGGCAGGAAAAAAGGTCAAATGATAAGAGACTTTTTTAAACTACTTATCCTACAAGCTTGCTGTCCTCACTTACTGTTTGTTATTAGAGCCAGGGTAAAACACAACTCTGGAAGCATCATTTAAAAAGAAAATTACCAGTGATTAAGAGTAGACTGTTCATTTGAAGGACAGTCCACACAGCACTGCCACCACTGCAACTCCATTTCTGTCACCTCGGTGTCACTGATGAGAGTCTCATGACTCCATCTCTGATCAGTAACTGTTTGAAGTTAGGGACCCTTGTCCAATCTGGGTCAATCCTGGCTCCTGTCTAGGTTTCCAAGGTAAAACATAGGTGCCCAGTTAAGTTTGACTGTCAAATTCACAATGAATACTTATCAGTACAAGTATGTTCCAAACATTGTACTGAAGAATACTTATACTACACACAATGATGGTATTCCCAGATCAGGCAATAATAGTCACAACTGTATAGAGCACTTCCTGTGTTCCATGCATCATTCTAAATGCTTTATAAATATTAATTCACTAAATACATGAACATGTATGTAAGCAAATGACAGTATATGGATGATTTGAGGTTAGGAAGAAAGAAGTCTATGTTTTTCAATTTTGAAAATTACCCAAAAATTTCTATAATTAAGATATTTAATGAGTTGTGTTGGTTAGCTGGAAACCAATTTGTATAACATTGAATCTTGCCATTTGTGGCAACACAGATGAAACTGGAGGGCATTATGCTAAGTGAAATAAGTCATAAGGAGAAAGACAAATACCAAATGATTTTACTCACATGTGGAATATAGAAAAACAAAACAAAGGAACAGACAAAAGCAATCCAAAACCAACTCTAAAATTCTGACCGTAGAATTGAGAATACCAGAAATATTGGAGTGTAAGGGATGGGATATAAAGGGCAGAGGGGACCAAGTGACTATGATGGAGGATTATGGGTGCGTTGGTGGTGGATGTGGTGTGGTAACATACATCTGAAGGAATATGAACCTATACCTCCAATCATATGCAATGATGTAAGTCAATATTACCTCAATAAAAATTAAAAAGATAAAACATAAAAGGAAAAATGTATAAAAATTAGGAATTTAGATTTCAGTTCCCACTCACTAACTAGCTGGATGACCTCAGGAAAGTCTCCTCGCTTTTCAGATGTAGGTATCATTATTTGTACCATGAGATTTGGACAAGATTATTTTTAAGTTCTTTGCTGTCCCTAAAATTCTATTTTCTTATAACATGAAAAAACAACTTGTGAAGAAGTGTTTATTACCTCTGCAATCATTCTGTTAGTGTCTCCTAAAAAAAGCAGGTTCAGAGCTTCTTCCTCTGTGGTTGCCTGGTGAAGGGACAAGTTTTTCAGATGAATGTTCTGATCAGGGTCCTCCAATATTGTCACTTTTCTAAGGAAGTGGAAATCAATAAAAATAAGGTAAGTACCTCTAGAATGAAAATTAATGAAGTATTTTTTACAGGTTCATTTTTAAAAAGCTAAACAACACCCAGTACCTTGTGAGAACTATGGGGACTACAGCAGAGGGGAGAAATCAAATACTGCGCAAAAAATTAATTAACAACAATGAAGAGAATAAACACAAAAATAAAATAAAATTATACTACAGGCAAAACCAATTTTTAAAATAAAAACAAAAATCTACACAATATGACATCTTGAACTTATAAAATCAAATAATAAATAAGACATCAGACACCAGTACTGGATTACATCAAACACTGACATCCCTATGACAGTACTATCAAACAGTATTGGGGCTAAAAAGTATATTACAAGCTCTTTATTTAAAATCATCTGTCTTTAAAATCATCACATCACTAAATCATCTTAAAATGTTTATTCTCACTGAATTAAAAATGCAAGTAGATAAACTTCTACTTATATATCAAGGCACTAAACTGTCATTTTTTTCTGTAATAATTCCATTTCTTACATGGGTAATGCACAAATCTTATACTTTTTCCCTTTTGTTCAATTTCAAATCATTTTCAATTTAAATAAACATTTCAAGCTGGTTGGCTCATCATCTTACACGTGATGAAAACTGAGGCATCTGTCATCCCTGGGGAATACCCCTTTGTCTAGTTTTCTTACCAAAGTAAGAAACCTTCTCAATAAGTTTTACAATAAAGTTTTAGTCTTTTATTGTTTTTATGCCTCACAGTGTGTGCTGATGCTTTCTCTTTAGTGTACCATTTCCTTCCATCTCTTCCTCATGGTCAGGGCCTTAAGTCTGGAATTAGGTAACTTTTTAACCTGGCATCATGTGCCAACATGATCCCCCCCTTCCCACTCCGTAACTCCTAACCCTGTTTCCAGGGCTGTCTGTCAACAGTCACCTTAAAGTCCTCTTAGAACTTTCTGCAACCAAACACAATTTGGCCAATCTCCTCATACTCTGTTTCAAAGGACTATAGATTTAAATAGTGCAGCTACTAGAGAATTTCTTTTTGCCTCTTAAGCTTTCTCTTCCTGACTTTCTTGAGAATTGTGTCAAAGGAAACATAAATCACAGATAACACCAGTGAGTACTTCCTGGTATCTACACTTGTTTAAAACATTTGGAATTGATGACAGTAAGTGAAGGCCAGCATCATCTAGCATCACTTCACCTTTAAAACTGTGACTAGTAAGTGGACATGTGTCACCTGTCTATAAAAACAAGTTAGAAGACCTTCAAAATAAAGAATTAGCAAATACAATCTTTCTTTGCTCTCAACTTTCCCTTTTGTAAGGAGGTTATCTGGACTTTCATATGTAATTTGTGGGCACTTAAAATACTAATTACAGGGAAAAAATACAGCTCTCCAGGCACATCTGTGACCAATATGTCACTAATAATGTGTCCCTGAGCCAAGTTTTGGACTCCTTTTTGTCTCCTTTAACAATACCAACTAAGATGGAAAAAGATTTCTTCCCTTAATGAAAACAAGTGCATTTTATTTATTTTTCAACAAGATTCATAAGTGAGCTTATTAAAAATGCTTCTGAGTTAAAAAACGCCTGGAAAACATGAAGGCATTTCTAACTGAAATGGATGAGTTGTGTTCTATTTTTAGGAAGTCCCTTTATTCCTTAAACTTTATTTTCACCAAGATCCTTCTGCAGCATTTGAGAACGTTTGCCTAAATTTAATCTCTAAGGATAGAGAAGTCAGAATTCTTTCTAAATCCACAGATACTAGGGCTTAAAGGTGAATTAAATAATACTGGGAGGAAGATAAAGACATGAAATAAATGATGAGATGCCACATTAAAAGTAAGAAGAGAGTTTTATCTTTTCAGCAGAAAGATGAAAACAAATTCTCTAAGGCAAATCATTTATGATACAGGTGTAAGACCAAGTCAGGTACAATACCATCCTGTGCAAGTTCAGAAAAAGGAGTGGTGAGTCAGCGAGAAATGACTCAAAGAGGAGGATACAATGACTGTTACCGGGTAACAAAAATCTGTCAGCCCCTGTATTTTTTCTTATCCGAGATGCACGAAACTTAAATAAAACACAAGTGCCAGGCTCCCCCTTAGAAGATCTGATTTAGTTATTCTAGGGCATGGTCTAGGTATTAGAATTTGTAAAAGATCCAGGTGATTTTAGTGTGCAAAGTCAAAAGTGATTGACTTCATCTTGAATCATCCTAAAAGGCAAACACACAGGGAGGAGTTTCTGGTTTTTTATCTTTACTTTCTTTTTTCCCCCTTTTTAATTATATATATATATATATATATATATATATATATATCATATCTCATCATTTTTTTTACAGTGTTTGCTTTCTTTTCTCAGGTGTAGTTTCCATAGAATATCCACCACCAATTTATCTGTGCACCATAGTCACCATAGTCCCTTGTGCTCTTTCCACCCTCATTTTGATCCCTCTCACTCCCTCTCCCCTGCAGGATATCTCTGACTTATAGTTGCCTGCTTATTTTTGCATTGTTGTGTTGTATTTTTCATTTTTATTTCTTTCCCTGATCCCTTATTTGGTTCCTCTATATTCCTCCTATAAGTGAAACCATCTGGTAATTTTCTTTTTCCTTCTGACTTATTTCACTGAGCATAATCCCTTCTAGCTCCATCCATGTTTCTGTGAATGGCATGAGTTTATCTTTTTTGATTGCAGAATAGTATTCCACTGTTTATATGTACCACATCTTCTTGATCCAGTCATCTATTTTTGGGCATTTGGTTGTTTACAGGTATTACCTATTATAAATAGTGCTGCAATAAACATAGGGGTGCAGGTATCCTTTTGATTTAATGTCTTTGTGTCCTTTGGGTAGATTCCTAGGAGTGGAATTGCTGGGTCATATGGTAGCTCCATTTTTAGTAGTCTGAAGAATCTCCATATAGCTTTCCATAGTGGTTAGACCAGTTTGCATTCCCACCAGCAATGCAGGAGAGTTCCTTTTTCTTGACATCCTCACCAACATTTGTTGCTGCTAGTTTTTTTAAGATGTGCCATTCTTACTGGTATAAGGTAGTATCTCATTGTGATTTTAATTTGCATTTCCATGATTATGAGGGATGGTCAGCATTTTTTCACATGCCTGTTGGCCTTTGCATTTTCTTTTTGGAGAAATGTCTTTTAATTCTTCTGCCCATTTCTTGACTGGGTTGTTTACTTTGTTTTTGTTGAGTCATGGGAGTTCTTTGTATATCTTTGTGATCAGTCCCTTATTGTATGGAGTGCAAAAATTTTCTCCCAATCAGTAGAGTGTCTCTTTGTTTTGGTTAATGTCTTTTTTGCTGTGTAGAAGTTTTTTTTCAGTTTGATGTTGTCCCAGCTATTCATTTTTTTTCCTTCACTTCTTTACTTTGGGAAATGAGTCTTTAAAGATCTTACTGATTTTGTAGTGTTATATGTCTTATAGTGTTTTATCTATATTTTCTTCTATATATTTTATGGTTTCAGGTCTTATGTTCAGTTCTTTTATCCACTTTGAGTTGATTTTTGTGCATGGTGTGAGGCAGTGGTCTAGTTTCATTCTTTAGTTTATGGTGGTCCAATTTTACTTTCTACCCAGCTCTGTCTCAAGCCCAAAGGGGAAATTTATTCATCTTATTGGTTGTCACTGAAGTTCCTCCCTAACCACATATACTAACAGGCAAGGTTACTGTGAGTTTTTATAAGCCTGTTCTTCCATGGGAAATTTCTTTACTACCTCTTATCATACAGCTGATAGGTAAATGAAGCCATTCATTGCCATAATAACTAAAGCTTAACTGGGATTATGGATCTACTTAAGCATCTAAAGAGGTTTATATCCTTGCTAAACTTAAAAAAAATCCAAGTGATAATAAAGACATACCATATCTATCTATCTATCTATCTATCTATCTATCTATCTATCTATCTATCTATCTATCTATATCTACATACTGTATCACCATTACTCCATTGAAATAAAAAATGCAGGAAAGCAAGTATGGAATTCTAAGAGAGTTCACGTATTATACAACCAAATGTGTCACTGGTTTAGGATCATATTTATATAGTCTAGTCAGACTCATGTGATAAAAAGTGTTTGTGAAATGTCATCAGTGGCCTTTGACTAAGCTGCTTTCTCCCTCTTAATTATTCAAAGCCTTTGATCTCCAATGGGGCTACATCAGAACTACTATACTTCTATATTTACTTCCAGGTACTTGTACAACTTTGTCATTTTTATCAAATACAATTTGCACATGCCTCCAGTTTTTCTGTGTAGAGCTTTCAGCTGTTTTTGCAGCCTATCACTAAGCATTTCTCTGACTCTTTTTTGATAATGTTTCCTCACTATTTTCTGATTTCTGGCCTATGGAGATTTTGAAAAGTAAAAAAAAAATAAAAAATAAAAAAGGCAGATTGGTATCCAAACTAGTTTGGCTGCTTCCACTGCTCTCTCCCTGGATAGCACTCATCTGTGGGCACCCCATAAAAGGCTCCACCTCTGGCATCTTTCTGGAAAATCCTGTGGTATAACTTTTTCCAATCAGGGTCTTTCTTGCCAGTTCTCTTCAGATTCTTTTTCTGGTTTCTACCCAACCCCTTGGGCACGAGGCTTTGGACTTTCCTTATTGCCCTGTCTGCCCTCATTGAAAATCTCTTTTGCACTAAGCCTTGCAGTCAATGTGTGCCCCACCCATCCTGCTGCCTTTGCTCAGAGAAACCTAGCCGAAGTCTTGCCTGCATACTTATTACCTCTTGCCTAAGTGGACTAATATGGAAGTGAGAATGTCCTGTAATCCCCTGCTGGTAGAATGATTTTTCAAAATTGGAGGAAATTAGAACCATTAGCCACACTTTTTCATCAAGCTGCTTCCTTCCCTGGCCCTTTCTCCCATCCATCCCCTCACAAATCAATAGCTATTTCCTGAATCCTTAGTCTTCCAGTTGATTGTGACTAT